AACCACTTTACTACATTTCTGTGTTAATCAGTATAATATAATGCACTATTACCGTTTTGTAGCATTAACTACTCTAGTATATATCCATAACTACAATCTACTGTTTTAAGCTTCCCAAAGAGTTCAATTCTACTTGGTATAAAGCTACTCCCTAAGTTTCACAATTTAGTCACTTTTGATTTAACCAATACTTGAGTTGATCATAGATTAATCCACTTTGCAAATAGGAAGTTAGATAATCACAAAGCTATATGAGAAGTGTAATAATCTGCAATTGTGTCATCTCAAATTGGGGTCTATCGGAAACAGTCTCTCTACCTCTCACAAGGTAGGAGTACGATTTGTGTACACTCCACCTTCCCAGACTCCGCTTGTGGGATCACACTAGGTATGTTGTTGTCGTCATCATCTCAAATTGACAAGTTATTCATATACATAAAAGTTATTGGTCAAAGCCACTTTCTTTTGCAACAAAATAGATAAAATTATAGGACAAAGTAGAAATTGAATGTGAAAGGTTAAATTAAATTATAATACAAGACTATTTCTAGTTTCGACTCCACATGCACTCAAGCATCATCAATAGCAGTCAGAGAAAACATAAACCTGCAAACAAGTGCTAATCAACACAAATTATTCCTCCCTTGGTCTGACTAATTGTTAAGAGTGATATTTCACTTAAGATCTCCAAATTTTAGATAGAATTCCTATCAAAGAAACTAAGTTTAGGTTCCCTAAAAAAAGGAAGTTATACTAATGAATAAATTGATGGTTAAGGAAGATGCACATCAAGGTGGAAAATGGAGAGTGTTGTCTTTGTGGCACACATGAGTTTGAGTCAACTGACCCTTTATTTGCTCAATGAGTACGGACGCAGAAAGTAAAGGAAGCAATCATGCAGTGGACTCACATACAGATACAAGCAACTAGAATTGATCAGGTAATACTGGAAATTAACAGGAGGCATTGGAGTAGAGCACAGAAAGAAATAGTGGCTGCTCTATAGGGGACAATGGTATATCACACTTGGAGAGCGAGGAACTGGAAAATATATACAGGAGTAAATGTACAAAATGACCAAGTTATAACACAGATTAAACAGGAATTCATACACAGAAAAGGTAGATTTCAGGATTCAAAGAAATTGTATAAATGTAGGAATTTCATTGAAGCTTTAACTGGTAACTAGCTGTGGGGAGAAGTGGATAGACTAGGTGCTCTGTGTTGTTAGGTGATTAAAGTTGTTTGTTATCAATTGTAATGTTCATAGTTGTTACCAAAAAAAATATGATGGTAAATTGGAGCAATTTGTCCACAGCAACAATACTACTACAGTACCTCCAAGATCATCTTTCGAGTCATTTTTCTGTGAATCAGCAACAGCACAAAGCCTCTCAACAAGTTCTTTCTTCGACCCAGTACTTGAAATACCACGAGAAGTGGCTACGTCCCTTAACTCCTTAACACTCATTTTCTTATACTCCTCCACAGCATTTATTTTCCCTGACCCAATTGAGTCAGAATCAACCCTTGATCTTTTCTTATCACCATTCAATTTCTTCTTGTTTTCCTCCTCCTCCTCCTCAATAGCCTCCTCTAACCTCTTTTCCTGCAATTTCCCCAAAATGGGTACTCAATTAAAACACAAGATAATAACAAGCAAGAGATGCAATTAGTGCCAAGTATAGGTGCTAACCAGTATGGGTTTGGTTCCTGTGGTGTCAAGAGACTTATTAGACAGATTGGGGGGGGGGGGGGGGGGCACAATGCAAATACTTCTTTGCAGCCAGAATTAAAAAGTTTCTAAATGACTTACTTGTTGCAGGACATGCTGCCGTTCTTTGATGTCATCTGATAGATATTGATCCAATACAGCTGCACCTTTCTTTGTTGTTCTGACCAATTTCTCTGCCTCGCCTTCATCTCCAACTGCTAAATATTTTAACAGCAAGCAAGACACAGTCATTTCTCACTAAAAGGGGATGAAAAGCACAACCAAATAGATAGCGTAAAGAGTCAAGTTAGTTTCAGCCTAAACTGTAGCACTAAGCAAACCACTTTACTACATCTCTATGTTAATTAGTATAATATAGCGCATTATTACCACTCTGTGGCATTAACTACTCTAGTATATACCAGCAATCATGATGACAATCTACTGTTAAAAGCTTCCGAAAGAGTTCAATTATACTTAGTATAAAGCTACTCCCTGAGTTTCAAAATTTAGTCACTTTTAATCAAACGATACTAGAGTAGATCTTAGATTAATCAACTTTGCAAATAGGAAGTTAAACTATATGAGAAGTGCAACAATTATATACGATTAATCACAAAGTTATATGAGAAGTGTAATAATTTGCAAACGTATCATCTCAAATTGGGGTCTATCAGAAGCAAACTCGCTACCTCTCACAAGGTAGGAATAAGGTCTCATATATTCCACCCTCCCCAAACCCCAATTGTGGGATCAAACTCGTCAGTAGGTATATTGTTGTCGTCGTCATCTCAAATTGACAAGTTATTGATACACTAAAAAGTTATTGATCAGAACCACTTCCTTTGCAACAAAACAGACAGGACGAAGTAGAAATTAAACGTGAAAGGTCAAATTAAATTATAATACAAGACTATTTTTAGTTTCGACTTGACAATGCACTCAAGCACCATCAAAACCAGTCAGGGAAATCATAATCCTGCAAACAAGTGCTAAACCAACATAAATTACTCTTCCCTCGGTTATACTAATTTTAATCAAATAAACTAAGTTAACGTTCAAAAAAAAAGTTACGTTAACGAATAAACTGATGATTAAATTCCATAAGCTTTAACTTAATGACAGTACCTCCAAGATCATCTTTTGAGTCATTTTTCCGTAAATCAGCAGCAGCACAAAGCCTCTCAACAAGTTCTTTCTTCGACCCAGAACTTAAAATCCCACGAGAAGTAGCTACCTCCCTTAACTCCTTAACACTCATTTTCTTATACTCCTCCACATCATACATTTTCCCTGACCCAATTGAGTCAGAATCAATCCTCGACCTTTTCTTATTATCACCATTCAATTTCTTCTTATTTTCCTCCTCGTCCACCTCAATCGCCTCTTCCAACCTCTTAACCTGCAATTTCCCCAAAATGGGTACTCAATTAAAACACAAACAATAGATGCAATTACTGCCAACTATAGGTACTAACCAGTATAGGTTTGGTTCCTGTGGTATCAAGACCGCGACTTAAGAGCTCCTTGCGAAGTTCGTCGACTTTAAGCTTGGTAATGGTTGCCATTGTTTGGATTTTTCAGTGCTGAGGAGTTGAAGATGATTGAAAACTAGTTATATACTTTTTAGTAATGACGGGGAAAAGCTTGTTAAAGAAGATTGTTTGAACAATTTGTGCAGCGCACGATTTAGCGCTTTCAGACTTTTGAAAGTAAAGAAATTGAAATAGTTAAAAGAGTCTTCCCTCTATAATTTCTCGTCTCACAATTTATATTTTCAAACTACATAAATTTTCCATAAACTTTCGCAAATAATCATTTATATAATTCGATTATTTTTGTATAAATTTAAAATAATGAATTTATATAATTACAAACATTATGAATGTAAATAGTTACATAAATTTCAAATTATACAAAATTATATTGTATAAATTTTGAACTATACAAAACTAAAAAATTAAGCTATGTAATTATAACTAAAAGTAGATTGTGAATTGTAATTAAGATTAAGTATAACTATGTTAACTTCTCTAATCAAATAGCATATGTTTATTTATACACATAATTTTTCTAAAAATGAATATAATTTAATTTAATTTAATTTTAAAAATTAGTTAGTTAACTTAATTTTTTAAAAGTAAAAAGTACTAAGTAGTTGAAATTAAAATATGCTTTTCAATGTTACCAAAATGATCTTAATTTACTCGTATTTCATATGAATAAACTTGATACCAACGATGTCACGTGTCCCCCAATAAACCATAATTTATTCTGTATAAAAGGAAGATTTGATCTTTCTCCGCTATACTTTCTTTATTTCTAATTATTTGTTTAATTTTTTATTTATTTTTTTAACAAATAAAAAGGAAAAAAAGAATTAATATATTAATTAATTAATTTTTAAAAAGATAAAAAAAATTGAAAATTTAAAATTTTTAATTCATTTATTTCATAATTAATAGAGATAAAAGAAAAGTTTAATATATCAAGTAATTTTTTTTAATAGGTGTATCAATTTAAAAACAGATAAGTAATTAGGAATAGAGCAAGTACAATTAATGAGTGATTTCTTTCAAATACAAAAATGAGAAGCTCTGTGATTTCTAAAATTTTACATACTCGAACTGTAATCTTAATGTAATAAAACAAGAAATGTAGTTGCAAATTGAGATTATTGATCTGTATATTTTGCACGTATAATTAAACTTTGGAATAGATCAACCAATATAAGAATAATATTGAGTATATCGAAATATTCTAATTTATCCATATGTTTAAACATAATTATGAAAACTGTCACTACGCGCACACATTATATATTCATCTCAAAAGTACTACTACTATTACTCACTTTAATTGAGGATTTACGTAATATTAAACTCATATTGATAAATTCTATAGAATATATATATTTTAAGGTGGTTGACATTTCTTTATGTTGTTTTTAATTAATTTGTGCATGGAATAGTTGAACTCTGCTAGCTTTAAATTTCACCAACAACCAAATTATATTATTAACAAAGGCATCCATGGTTTGGTTTGGATGGTTTAACACAAATATAAAGCCCTTTAAATGAATCGTTCTTTAATTATTGCCTTTTAGCAATCAAACTTATGCTTAGTGTGACATAAGCTCTTTACAAACTGGAGTCATTGCCTGGCATAACTTATGAATATTATGATACGAAAATATTAACTTATCTCCGTGAAAAAACTATTTGTTACGAAGGACATAAATTAGAGACCAACACAAAATATGGACAAAAGTGCAAATGACTAGTTAAGATATGCAGCTAAAAAACATAACCATCCATTCTCTTTGAGATTTTTATTGTTTTCTTGCTTACATTATTCACAGAGAATGTTCAGTCTATTTCACAAAGTAGCCATCACCAGCTTGGACTCTTGCTTTTTTAACAGAGTTTTTACTAATTGATTCAAAAGTTTGAGAACAAAAGCAAGAAGCTTCCCAAGAAACAGGAAATGTTATTCTGAGTTACTTGGAGCCTTTTCCTTTGGATGTTTCGAGCCGTAGTGATCCACAAGTTGGTTTTGATTTGCTAGCTGCGCCTGAAAAAACAAAACAAATTGCTCAACTGAAAGCATAGAAAACCGACAAAAACCTTAGCATGCCTTGAGGAAAGGAGTACAGCACAGTTGTGGATAATGCAACATAGAACATGTACCTATTGAGTTAAATCTAGTGCAACTATAAAGTTTTTATCATTTGTAGTATAAACCATTTCCCAGTTTAAACATGTAGTATGACAGACACAGGATACTATCTGTTTGGGGTTCTTATTAAATCCAGTAATTCGGTAAGGCACTGAAGCCTGATTAAATGTTAATTGAATGACAAACAAAGTTGATCTACCCTACTGTTTGGTAAATACTTACTTGCAGTCGGCGTTTTCATTAAATCAAGAATACATATCACTTTGACCATTGATAAATGTGTATGAAAGACACTTCTCTTGCATTCGTTGCTTTGGTGTAAACACCGGGCGCAGGTAAGTAATTATCCTACTCAATGCTCCCATCTTAAACATAAAGTGCCCCTTATGGGCGGGTAACAACCATGAAAACTTGTTCCTACACACAAATCCCCCATGCCCCCCAAAAAAATGAAGAACAAAAGCATTATAAGGAAGAACTTAGTAAGGATTTTGTGTCCTGCATGGTTTCATGGAAAGACAACTTGACCATTTAAACAAATATACTTGAGTAAAAGACACAGACCATAGTAATTATAAAGATGGGAAAAGTTTTCTACACATGGATTACTGCAAGTAAGGAAGAAGAGTGAGGGGTTACTATGGGAGTAATGCAATACACAAAGCATTGACAAGTAAAAAAGGACTCCTCGGAGAATAGAAGAGGGGAATGTGGGGCTTCCATGCTCCTCTTTCAAAGGGGTGAAAGCCCATTTTCTCTTTTCAATTTGTTTACTAGAGTGCATTCATTTGAAAAGGGATAACTTGTTAAGTGCTTTGAGTATAATGAGTAGAGGACTGAAGCTATAGACGAGCAAACAAAACTAGTCATAGATCAGGAAGTGCCTGAAATATTAAAATCAGGACATGATTTGAACATGTCATAGAGCTCATAATGAATTTACCACTCCACCCCACCCCAACAACTTCCACTTAATATGGCAATCTTAAGTTGTTTCTCTCAGGCAAGAAACAGCATATCATTATCACTTACTGAGAATGCTAGGCATGAACTCATACTGGAGAATGAATATGAATTTTTGGGACATGGATAAGGAACTGCTATTGGAAGTTCACAGAAGAGGAAACAGGGAGAACAAGGTCTTTTCTGGATCTTTCTATAATCGCTTGAGACTAACTTATAACATTACATGTACTGCCTCTTTTCCGTGTTCAACAGCCATCATTAGATGGGATTTATATGGGAGAGATTGTTGGATACAAGTACTAAACTAGTTGAACTGATCAGTCCACTCCAAATTTGAGAACACCGGGCATACATAGCAGTGTCACTAATTTCACTCCAATTCCAAAAATGGTGTTATACCATAGGAGGAGCTCAAAAGCAAGGTCAGTCAAGCATCCAAAACAACATTGATCAAAGTGAATCTGCCTCCCTACGATAAATACTTTGATTTCCATCTACAACGTTTATATCATATTTTTTTGACACTAGTAACATTAAGTTTATATCATATTTCTCCTAAACAAAGTTCCATATATCCTTGGGTTTTGATTTTGCTCCTAGAAGCATACCAAGATAGATTGTTGGGAGTGTATCAACTTCTCCATCCAAACTTAAGGACAGCTGCTCCATATTAGGCACCAAGCTGTGTTGTATATATGGCTCTTTCTCCGCTTGATATGGAGAGAAAAGGGATAGGAAAGCATTTGAAGGAGTAGATGTCAAATTTCTCTCAGTTGCTAGTCGTCTCAATTCTATTATTTTCTTTCGGTCCATACAAAAACCTCTTTGTTGTATAGATGATTGGGTGGAATTTGTCAGAGAATCAATTCTTTCTGTAGATTCTTTACCTTTATAAATATACCCCTCAAATACAACCATCTTGGCCATGTTTATAAATAAAAATTACTCAATCCAGAAACAAAAGATCCCGCCTTTTCAAATTCTGCAATCCCATAACATTAGAATACCTCATCTAATGGCATTAGCTTCCAAACAAACATGTATTACGTATCTCCCTTTCCAGATCTGATTAATGTATTCCTAACAGTTATATGAAGTAACCACCATGTCACACTTACTGAAAGGGTAAATGAAGAGTTCCTTCAATATTCTTTCCACATATTCATTGTTGGTCTCTATTAAAAAAAACATGCCACTCAACATGTCTCCTTCCGACACCCTCGAATCCTAAATAAATATAAGTTGGTCTAGAAGTAATGGATACTTAAACATCTAATAATTTTCACAACTTAGCCCCCACCCAATCCCTAAGAAAGAATTCAATTTAAGATGGAAGTATTGTGAGCGAGTCTCGAACAAGCGCAGAACCTTAACAGTAGAGACAAATGAACAAGCCTGAGGGAACAAAAGCACGAATAATGCCACTCCTAGTAACCTAAAATAAAGAGAATGGTATGTAAAAAAAATATAAACAAGGAACAATCAACTATACATATTGTACCACTATGCAGTTACTACCTTAGATTTAGAAAGCAGAACTGGAGAGAACTCTCATGTATTACCATTGAACAAAGTTCCATGTAGCGAGTTTTGAACTCACAATGCTATTACAAAAATAGCTGACATAATAGTACTAAGAAGTTGTAATGCAAAATAAATTGCTAATTAGGAGGTACAAGGTAGGTCAAAGTTTAGTTAGTGACTTAAGGCAGTCAAAATAGAGAAGTTATTCAGCCACTAATTTCAACAACATAGTCGGTACCAAACTAAAGTAAAATCCTGACATCTCACTAACCTCACGAATGTTAAGACTCGCAATGTCATCGCTAAAATAGCTGAAATAATGGTAGTAAGAAGTTGTAATGAGGAATAAATAGCTAATTAGAAAGGTAAGAAAATGAGACAATGTTAATTAGTGATTTGAAGCAGACGGATATAATAAGTTGTTCAACCATCATTGGGAACATAGACTTGACCCCAAACAAAGTAATCTCACCATTTCACTAACCTTACGAGTCATGTCTTAGACTCACTCGATCAGTACAAGTTCCTAAGAAATATAGATACAAGAGGAAAAGTACAGCCACGCTAACCACTATAACGGGAAGTTACATCACCACAGGTTGAGCAAGTAAAGCAATCACTTGGTTATTATTTTGGCTGCTCCAAATTTCCTACTTGTCATGGGAAACTGAATGATTTCAAATAGCCTCGACTCTTTACAAAAATTGGCAATACAATTGAAGTTATAAAATTGTTTCTTGGGAAGTTCCAAGAAAAATCTAAAACAATGGCAGATGAGAAACGTAATCTAAAAACAATAATAAATGGTGAGTAAGTAGGAAGAGGGTAAAACGGAAATACAGGTACTAAACTACTAGGAAGTTGAATAAAGAACACGGGATGATTTCAGGATAACACAATAACAGATGAGGAATGTAAATAAACATAGACAACAGAAGCTACTTAACAAGGTTGGAAGATGCAACCTTATCACTAATACGGATGGATAACCAATCAACTAACTATCTAATTCCATTACCCTTCATTTCAACGCCAACTTCTATGTGGTGTTGTTCGGATACCCAGAAAAGAGAAGGAAAGTGTTGGAATGGTAAGTATCCTGTAAAAAGCTTTATGAATATGATAAGCAACTTTTCCCCAAGAAAAACTTCAGTTGCAAACATTTCCAATGAATTGATTCCTTCAATCTAAACCTACTTTTTCCTTTCAAACAAACAAATACCAGAAAAACCACTTTTTGCTCCCTTTATTTAACTTTAGATGCGCTTTTGTGTATAGTTTTGTTCAACAATTTTCTCGATATCCAAAACGAAGGTTATATGATTGTAAATTCCTTCACAACAGCATAACCCACCAAACAATACAAAAAAGACTTAGATCTAGATTACTATCATAAAAGGAAGAAAAAAAATCAAAGAGACACCAAAAACTCCACAATTAGAGCCACATAAACAGATAAACAAGCACATACAAGCGAATCTACCAAAAATAATCGAAATTGATGAAAGGAAAACAAAAAGGGTGTATAGAATTTTATACTTTACAAATGGGACAGATGACTTTGAGGCCAACGGCACGGGCTTCAAGCTGAGACCCTTTTCCTTTCTGATTCTTCTCGGCATTTTTCCTCTGAGCCTCGATCTTTTGCTTTCCCCTTGTCATCTCTCCCTCTCAGCAAGATCGTACTGGGTTTCGAGTTTGTACACAATTTACAGGGATGGGCAGATGCTTTTTACAAAGAGAGTCTAAAAAGTTACGGAAGTATTAGGTATTTGGCGAATATTTTCGTCGAAAAATTATATTATATATATAGATCACATTAATAATATTCTTAATAGATAGATAATTTTGTACAAACTTAAAGTAATTTGAGCCTCTGGCTCAGTGGTAAGAGCGAGTAAAAAGTTTTGAGGCACGAGGTCGAAGGTTTTGATTCTTGTTGACATTATGTTTTTACTATTATTTTCTATTAGTTAAAACTTATTAAATATTTTGTGGGTTATTTTTAAAAATTTGCACATTTTTCATAAAAATGTCTCGCTTTGACTCTGCTATTGATATCATAAAGATAAATTTCATATTATGTCATGTAATATTTATTTTTAATGTGATTGCATCTATTTTGATTTTATTTATTATTTAATATTTAATTTAAGATAATAAATTTATATTGTACAAAAGTAAAGGAGATACTTTATAATGGAACAATAATATTTGTAGGTATCTGGCTGAGAAGTTATACTACGAAGATTTAGGAAAGGGTGGTGTAGACAAGGATAAGTGGAGCATGACAATTTTAAATAATATATCAATTCGAATTCATGTTAAGACATTCTTCTATACAAGTCATTCATCTAGTAAAGATATTAACGAAGCAATATACTGAGAGAAAGAAGGACTCTCATATAGTGTTCACCAATGTAACGTTTCAATAGAGTTACTTGTGAGTTGATTGGAGGTCAGGGGTGTAGTTATGACAGACAGTATGGTGATCAACAACATGCATGATGGAGTTAAGACTCATGTAAAAACTGTTGAAGTAGTCCCAAAGAACTTCTCAATCTGATGAATTATACTAGGAGTCAATCCTTATTCATTTTATTAGCACTGAAAATGAACACACTGACTGGACAAATCAATCCGAGGTGTGTTGTGATGTATGCTATTTGTGAATGACATAATACCGGTTGAGAAATTCACGATGGCATTAACACTAAGTTAGAGATTTGGAAAGAGTCAAAATAATTCAGATTAAACTTGACCTAGATAAAATACTTGAAATGCAAATTCAATGACATAATTCAGGATAGATAATGTAAAAGTATAAAATTATTACACATATTATCCAAAATAAAGAAAATTTTAAGTATCTTGAGTTAATTATTCAAATGATAAGGAAATTGGTTGGGATTCTATTCATCATATTATTGCGGATAAACCAAAGGCTCGTTTTCCAAGCTTTATGTGATGAGAAGATGCAACTAAAAATTTAAAAGTGAATTCTATATCGTTAGTGTAACATTTTAATATTTTTTTAAAAATGAATATTAAATTTTGCATGGTTCACACAGATTTTGATTTTCTGGTCGTTGCTTTACTTATCACCTTTCATATGTTACAAAATATTGGATGGATGTAATGATGTTCATTATTGGTGCATTACTATATTATATTACTCCAAATTGGAGTTACTGCCATTGCACATCAGTTTTGCAAAATGCCGTTGATGGCATTGGTGGGAACTTGATTGTCGCTTTTCATTCCTCGGTTATCTTTGTAATTCACGTAATTTCTAAGATTATTTATTTTTATTATTTACTATATCATTTATCTTATTATTTATTGCTAAAAAGACTTCTTGTAGTATAAATAGTGGTGGTCACACAACATACAAGAGAAAAATATAGAGTGAAAGAGTTAGTCAAAAAGAAAGTTCTTATTAATTGAAGGGAGGTGTTCTTTTGTGGAGCTTTAGACTCAACTCTTTTCCAGAGCTGTTGAGTTATCTTTTGTGAATAGGCTGTTGTATCCTGGAGGGGACAAGTCAAAGAGGATTACTGCTGGACAGGTGAAAACGTTTGCTGCAGTGGGCTTGAATCTCCTTAAATAGAGCGAGATATCCGCACCTCAGCCTGAAGAGATTTTATTTCTTCATTTCATTTTCAATTGTAATCTTGTAATTTTTTGTTATCTTGTAAGTTTTCACTAACATATAGCATAAAGTGTCTGATAGTTAAGAAATCTCACCTTAAAATGATGGAATTGCGAAAATGAGATCCAGCTGAATTAACTGTCTTCTAAAAGCAATGAAAAGCCATTTGAAATGCGATAGATGTATAGAAATACTAAGTAGATATGTTTAGATGTTAGTATGTGTAGGATAAAGTGAGATTGATTTTCGTGGTGGACAAGATGAAAAGTTAGAGACTAGGATCTTTGGACATGTAAAAAAGAGATGCGTAGATATTACTGCAGAAGTGTGAAAAGTTGGTTATGGTTGGTATGGGGAGAGGGTGATCGAAAAAGTATTGAGGAGAGATAGTTAGACACGACGTAGCATAGTCTTAACTTACTGAAGACATGACCTTATACAAAAGGTGTGGAAGACAGTAACTAAGATAGAATGTCAATTAGTAGATAATATTGTCTTGTTGTTTAATCATATTAGTTTTCATAATATTGCTCTTATACTTTCATTGTTATCTTTTTAGAAATATTGTGGAATTCTGTTTTCGTGTCACCAGTAACCTCCCTACTTTTAAGTAAGAATAATATTTACATTATATTCTTCAAACCTCAATTCACGAGACTACCTATATGGAGTATGTTGATTTTATAACTATTTTTATAATAACTATTTATTTTTTTGGTATTATATTTGTTCTTCACATCGTTGGCATGAGGCATTGCAAAGCATCATAAAACAATATAATCAATCTAAAATATTGTTTTAATCATCAAAACAATACAATACAATAATTATAAAATAATATGTAACAACTCTCCGGACACTCTCTTAAAAGTTGGAAATTATATGACTTTAATTACCATTTCTAATTATAAGCACTTTTAACTTACATTATCTAATATCTTTTTTGCATTTTATTTTTTTCAGGAAAAATTAATTTTTAATGTGACAATTTCAATTACAATACTAAAAGAGAAGAGTAGTTATCTAACAAAAAAAATATGCATTTACGCAATACTAAACTAAATTATAGATAATTCTATTTATTATTCTAGGAGACCAAATATTAAATAAGGATTCAAACTCTGTCAAAAGAAAAGTGCTAAATACCGTTAGATATCAACGAATGCGAGTGCCAGCCGAATTCATTTGTAAGCAAAATTAGTTGATAAAGTAAATTTGTAAGCAAAATTAGGTGATAAAAGTATATAATTTTTTTTTAAGCTAAGAATTACCAAGTGATTAAACGTGTGAACTTATTCATAACTAAGCAAGTAAATAAAGTTCAAGCATGTGAGTTCCATTACTAAATAATTAATACAAATCTAAAGAGGACAAATGATAAGACATGCAATTTTGGTAATATCAAATAAGTTTGTAGTGACCTCAATTTCATGTAAAAAAGTTTTTTTTTTAAAAAAAAATTATAATTAAAATGCAACGATTATTGAGCTACAATTGTACAATGTAAATCACCCCTTAATGAGGATAAATAATATTTTGTAATCAAATAAATAGTTACTCGTATTATTTATCAAGAATATATTATCTATCCCGCTTTGGGCAATGACTATCCGTTGATTTATTATTCTTTTATGGTTGAATTTAGAATAATACTACTCTATTATAGTATATGTGTAAAAAATATATCTCTTTTTAATATTTAATCAACAAAAAGAAAATTAAAATAATCAGTAATAGAAATATTCATGATTGACGCAAACATATAATGAAATTAATAAAAGACAGCAAAACAAAATAGATACGAAAATAAAATGCTTCAAATCATTACTCTAAAAAAGTGAAATTAAACTACTAATTCACAGATTACGAAGACTAAATAAGACAGTAAAACGGAAGCTAAAAAAATAATTCACTTGAACAACAAAAGTATGTACGTACGAATTAACACTATTATTATTATTATTATTATTATTATTATTATTTCAATTTACCAACCCAAAATAAGAGGTATAGTTCATTATTTCTCATTATTTCATGTACAATAAGCAAATATAAGAAAAAACTATAATAACTTTATACGATAACAAGATTAACTCTAAGAATTTATGAAGTATATATATAAACTAGACAAAATCAAATATTTAGTAGGATAGCTAAAAATATAACTTGCAACGGTTATAAAATAAAAATATTAAAAGTTAAATAACTAAGAAAAGAAAGAAAGAACGAGTATTAATATTTTTTCTTTCAATCTTTCAATATTTATGTATCATCGGATAAGAAAAATACATATAGAAAGTAAAAATATATTTCTAATTCTTCAAAGTCAATGAAATGTGAATTTTACTACAGGACATCTACATACACATTTTCTTTTAATTAATTTTTTAATCCGAAAATCATTATTTACAACAACAGTTAAATTTTAAATATGCAAAAAATAAAAAAAACTAAAAGTACGTTAGTGAAATGAATTTTCTACCGTAAACTGATTTATGCCTAAAGTCAAATATTGTGTTGTCAAGTTCATAGTAAAAGTGAATATTTATTATTATTTATTTTTATAAAATAAACATATATCACACCTTAAAATTAGATATATCACGAGAAATATATTTACATAAAAAAGATATAATTTTAAGATGCATAAATTTATATCAAAGCAACGTGTATTTTGTCTATAAAAAATTTAAAAAGTTTATACCTAAAAAAAATCGACTTAAAGTATCATATCTAAAATCAAATAACATCCTCAAATCCTCTTTCTTTTCTTTATAGAAAATCATTTAACAAAATCAGTTCTTAATATCATGATTTCGAATTATAGGATATTTCAACAAGATTATCACACAACAAAAACATCACCTATTTAAATTTAAAATCATAAAATGGAAAGAGTAAAAGTATAACACTTTTTAAATACGAAAAGTCAATAATGTTTTTATCGCTACTTACAAAAGAATATCAACAAAAAATTACATATTTTGAATCTGATTTAAAAAATCTTGTCGTTTAACTATGACTGACTATTTCAAAAAAAGAGAGGAAGAGAGATTACGAATCTTTCGTGACAATGTCAATAAAAGAAAAATAGAACTCTAGAAAAGTAAATATAGAAAAAAATTAATTTGAAGAATAAAAAATATTTAATATGTACTCAAAATATAAGTAACAATTTTTTATCATTTTCTTGATCACTTGACCTTTTTTCCTCCTTAAACATGATATAAAATCAAACACTAATATAAAATAAAAAATCAAATAATTCCGACCAAAATGACTGTAGATTTGCCATGCCAACACCAGCGTCGGTTGCACGTATGAAGAGTCACTCTCTCACGTGTGAACACACTCAACTCTCATTGGTTGAGCTACTTTTAATTACGCAACACTCTTTTCCTCAAAATCTCTCAAATCTACCTTACATTGAATTCAAACAACAAAGATTTTTGTATTTTTTTTGTTAATTTTCTTACAATAGAGAGCAGCCAAAATCAACACTCTGTCAATAAGCCTTAAAGCTTTTCTATTTCCCTTTTTCTTTCTTTTCTTTTCTCTCTCTCTTTCTATAGTGTTGGTTTGTATGTTTCTTGAAGTTCCAACTTTACAGCTCAAAGTTCCATTTTTCTATCTTTCTCTGTCTGGACCTTTTTTTTGTTTTTTTTAATTTTTTTTTTTGAGTGTTAGCTGTGAAATGAACTTTGGGTACTCACTTGCAGATCGAATCTAGCATTTTCAGGTACTGCTTTTATGTGGGTGTTTTAGTATGGTATAAAGGTTTAATTTTTATTTGTGGGTTTAGGATGACTCTTTTTTTTAGAGCTTTTGAGTGGTTTTGGGGTTTTGGTTGTCTTAGTGTGTGCATAAAGCTTTGATCTTTGTTTGTTTATATATGCTCTTGTTTGGGAATTTGGTGGATTGTACTGAGTGCTTTAGTGGGTGTACACTGGTTCTGGGATTTGGTGACGGTGGGTTCATGTTTAGGATGACTCTTTTATATGAGCTTTAGTTGGATTGTACTGAGTGCTTAAATGGGGGTACTTGGTTTTGGTCTGAAGGGGTTTTGGTGGTTGTGGTTTCGTTAGTGTATGCATAAAGCCTTGATCTTTGTTTGTTTGTTTAGATGATGCCCTTGTTTGGAAATTTTGGTGAATTGTACTGAGTGCTATAGTGGGTGTACACTTGTTCTGGAATTTGGTTTCGATGGGTTCATGTTTGGGGTTGCTCTTTTTTTAGAGCTTTTCTTGGATTGTACTGAGTGCTTAGATGGGTACTTGGTTTTGGGCTTTTGGCATTTTGGTGCTTGTGCTTGTGTTAGTGTATGCATAAAGCTTTGATCTTTGTTCGTTTGTTTTGTTTAGATGATTCTCTTCTTTTCTTTTGGAAATTTTGGTGGACTAAACCGAGTGCTTTGTACACTGGTTCTGGGATTTGATGATGGTTCATGGCTGCATGTTTGCATTTTCTGGTTTCTGATTTGGTTTTGTCTGTGTCGGTATGGTTTGATTTTCTTTCTGTTTATTTAGATGGATAATTTTCTGGATTGAACTCAAAACTGTGATTGGTGTACATTGATTTTGGGGTCTTGTGTATGTGTCTGCTTTTTGTGGAATTGCTGAAATGTGTAGTCTCGGTAGATGAATTTTTGGCTTAGAGGGTGAATGTGTTCCAGTGAAGTGGAAATGGTACTTGTGATGCTCTTTTTTTTGGTTCATGATAGTTTGATTTCTGTTTTGGGTTTGAGCAGTTAAAGGTTATACATCTGCCACCATTTGGATTCTAGGAACTAGTAATTACATTTAGAAGGAGGTTATGTTAGAAATTTCCTTGTCAAGCTATACATGAAACAGATTCCTGGCAGTCCACGGAAACACTATTGCTAATTGTCTGAAGCGAGAAACACGTTGATCAGTTAATTTATTAAGATGTTAACTGTCACTCGATTTCACTGGCACCATGCAATTGAACCAATTCAAATGCTTATTTATTCAATGAGATCGGTGTTTAGTGAAACCACCATTATGAAATTGATTTTATTCACAAAAATGGTACTTCAGTCTTTTTATGAACCGCCATAAGGAAATAAAATTGTTAGATGCAAATGTTTCTTCGAGAATAAAGAAGTCATTCTGGGGGTTGATGCTGCTAGTAGTCGTGATTGGGTTGATTTTGTTGCGTCATGGTTATTCAAGGAGCATTTATGATCTAATTTGTGTAATTCTGAAAGTGGATGTTTATTCATTCTTTATCATATGTTGTTGACATGCTATTGCTGGTAAGGATTTGACGAAAATCCCATTTGAAGTAGTCAACTGAACAATTTACTTGAGATAAAAGATTTGGAACAACTAAAAAAATCCTTGACATGGGAATCAAAAGAGGTTTAAGAGCCAGAAGGTTATTTTTGACCTAGAAAAACAATTTAGGAGGTGTAGGGGAAGTTTTGATTCAAAGAGTGCTAAGCCAGTGAGTACATATTTTGCTTTTAGTTTGTTGTCAGCTACCCAGTCACCCTAGTAAGAGGAAAAAGGTAGGCATATGCTACATGTACCCTATTCTAGTGTAGTTGGAAGTATTTTGTATGTATTGGTGTGTATATGTCCAGACATTCCACAACAATGAGTGCAGTAACTCGATATGTGGCTTGTTCAGGTTAAAATACATAGGGTGATTGACGAGTTTTGAAATGAATTTTCAGATACTTGAAGTACTTCAAACACATGTGTAGAGTTTGCAGAAAATACTAACACTTTGAGTCAAACCAACTTAAAAGCACATTTTGGCTTGTTTTGGTGTTTGACAAATTAAAAGTAGCTTTGCTTGAATTTGATTAGTATTCATGAAAACTGATTTTGCCCATTAGGGATTTTGTGGAGAAGATGGAACTTATTTACTATATCATCCAAAACCAAAACTAAACCAAGGTGAAGATTTGTAACATGGCCTATTCTTAGTATTGTTGGATAATATTTGGCCAACAATTTAACTCTGTTGGTCAATTGTTGGCCACAATACTATAAGCCTTTTCTTGGAACAATCTCCACTCACTTTAGGCTAGAAGGGAAGCTGAATAGATTTTATGGTCACTTTCTGAAGGTAAAGACCTGAGAGTTAAGACCTTTATTTTTGATAGGAAGGGCATGATTATCTTTTGCTAACCAATGTGCATGCTGAAGTTGGATATAGCATGATCCTGCTCTGGAGTTTGTAGTTACTCTCTCAAGATAAAGAACTGAGGCTTCCTTTTCAAATAAAAAATAAACAAGAGTCTTCAGTTGTATAGATGATATAGATCAGATTATAGATTTGATAGGAAATCTGTAATTATCCCTTTTTGGAGGTAGCCAGCACATCCTTAATGCTGTAGAATTCAACCTTACCAGTTTCAGAAAAAAAAATAGTCTTCATTTTCAAAAAAAGATAAAGGGCCGAGTCTTAGACTTTTAGTTGGAAAACTCTTGGATAGTAATCTTATATAACGAAGTTCAGGGCAATAAAAAAGATAAGAATGGCATGATTATCCTTGATCAACGAAGGTTTGACTATCTCCTTGGGTGTGGGTATGCAGCATGATCCAGGCAGCTAAGTAGCATTTTTCTGAAACTTGGTTCGGGTAGCAGGGACTATCCTTCTTAACAAAAGACTTGATAAATCAGTACTCTTCTTCCTTGATTCATACTGTTCATGCATATTTCTATCATTTTGCTGAATTTTACAGTAACAACCACATATCCAGCATAATCCCATAAGGGGTGTCGAAGAAGGATAAACCCTTACCCACCCCCCCCCCACCTTGTGGAGGTAGAGAGTTCGTTTCCAATTTTTGCTGAACTTTCTCAACTAAATTTGTTCTTTGTGTTCTACTCATCAGATAAAAAAATGAGTTGTTCTCTTTATTCTTAATAGATGTACTTGAAGTTATTTGGTTATCCAGTTTGGTCTTTGGTAGGATGTTTTAAAGAAAGTAATACATGTATTAGCTATGGTATTATTTAATACCTTGTTTGGAAGTGTTTTCAACGTATGTATAATTAATACATGCATTGGTTATACATTCTATTCAGTATAATAGAGCGTATAACTAATGCATATTAACCCATAGTATTAGCAATTCCAGGTTTATTTTTATTAATACACTGGTAAACATGTTTAAAGACATAATTCGTTGAATACACCAAACCAAATAGTGGATTAGAAATAATCTCAACATAACTAATCCTAACATGACTAATCCCATCGTTATTGATACACACTATTCAATACTGTTCTTATACACCCTTCCAAACAATCGTTACGAGTCTTGGGCCACAAAAGAACAATGGAAGAATAGTAACTCTCTTGGTATGATCACCCACTCTATATTTGGGAAGTTATTTCTGGATTGCCAGATGTAGCCATCACATGACGTGTATGACTCCAGAGGATAATTCAATGTTTTCCGTGCACTTTTGTAAGACAGAAGTGCCAACTACATATCAATTTAGTGTCAAACATTAGGAAATAATGTGCACCGATCTGTGAGAATTATCTGTACATTTTCTGTTCAAGTATTCTTCATTATTTCATTCATAATAGTTTACTTGATATTTACATGATTCTTTCTAATATCTTTTTCTTTGGTTGTTCCTCCAGGGATCATTCTCTTTTCCATTGCTGGTTTTGTGGTGTCACATCCTGTTTACTGTATGTCCAAGGGAACCGTAGCACAGCGTAGTCCGCCTGATGTTCTTCAGTAGCCTTATTATGCTTGATCAACGCCAAGATGGGCGACTTCTCTTCGAAAATTCAGGATTTGTTGTTTTTAAGCGTGCTGTTGCTTTGCATTTTCCCAAGACTTACACTAGCACTCAATCCTGATGGTGCGATGCCACACATTTCTTCAGCATTTCTTGCTTGATTTGTTTATTTAGTTACAGACTAGGCACTATGTGGATTTTAATTGATGCGTGCTTGATCCAGATGATATAACAAGTCTAGTTCCTTCGCCAGTTTCCTAAATCAGGGACTAGTACATTTCTGATATTTAGTTGGGATGATTGTGGGATGATATTCCACTGAAGCTTGTTTGCCTCTAAATTGGATTTTTGCTAATTTCTGATGTTCTAATGCTGCTAAGTTTCTATTCAGTTGTTACTTCATACATTACCTGAATGTTATGCTAATACTACCTCACTTGATAATTGATTAATATCTGAAGTCTGTTCCATCTTGTAAGAGTTACACTTTAATCCATGCTTTAGACATTTCTACATCTTTGCAGGTCAAGCGCTTGTCAATTTTAGGATTGCAATATCTGGTTCCGATGGTGTTCTTGAGCAGTGGAGACCAGAAGATTCTGACCCATGTGGCTGGAAAGGGGTACAATGTGACTCAAAATCAAAGAGAGTTACATCTTTGTGAGTATCTGTATTATTGTTAAAACATCTCTGCCGGTGATGGCATTGTTATGGTTCTAGTTATTTTTGACATATTTATTTTGGGCTCCACAATTCTGAAATATCTAAACGTTTTGATTTAAAATAACACTAAATGAATGCTGAGAATCCCTAGTAGTTGTGATATAGTAATTTATGGATCAAATTGGATCTTTGATCTTATAGAACTGAATTACAGCTGATCTTGACTGTATACGGTAGTGGTTTTCAATTGCATTATGTTGCGTTTCTGTAGGGCTGATCCTCTAGCCCCATTTTACTGGTTACCTGTCAAATGGCCTGAATTTGATATCTTCATCCAAATATCCCTACAAAACATTATCTTTAAGTAGTTTTATATTTAAGATCTGAGTTGATTTCGCAATTTGTATTGAACTAAGAAGAGACTAGTTTTTCCTAACACTTCACACTTGCCTATAATTTATATTAGAACACACTGATACTTTACTTCTAACATAGCCTATGTCATATTGGAGTCACTATTTGAACCACTACAATTGTTGTCTTTTGATCATCCAGAAGCCTCCCTAATCACAAACTGAGTGGATATATATCACCAGATATTGGGAAGCTAGACCAGTTGCAGTTTCTGTATGCTTCTTTTCCCTTTTATTTATTCTTGTTTCCAATTATTGTCAGTGTCACTATACTATGCTAACACAAATCTCATCTAATGCAGGGCTCTTCATGACAATAATTTCTATGGGGCAATACCTCCTGCATTGGGAAATTGTACAAACCTGAAATCTCTGTAAGTTTTGCAGTGAACTTCTTTGGTGTGACCTGCATATTTAATTCTCTTCTATTATTGAGGCGCTTGAGTTTCTGCTATTAAGCACTTTTGAGAATCTGAAGAACTCCAACTACCTACATGCTATTTGAAGGAGTTCTTGGGGTCCCACCTCCCAGCTCTTATTTCTTCCCCTTAACCTCACTACCATCCGAATCGTACTAAGCCTGAACCACTCCGTATTCTCATGACTCATTTTTCAGAAGAAACTCGCATTAATACCCTGGTTGGAATTTTGTGATTTCAGTAAAATAATTTATGCATTATATCATGATTGGTCCTCTTTTTGCAAAGTAACAAGGATACTTGGACAAACTATAAAAGTAAAACTGACATTTCGTTTTGTGGAGTTCGAGCAAAAAAAGTTGAGTGCAAAACTCAATATCCTTATGGAGAGTGGACATATTTAACACTCTTTTCAGTTCATGTATAGATTAATCACTTTATCTCCGGTCATATGGCACAACCAGCATGTCATTGATTGATGTTGTAGTCCTTGATATGCTACTAATCTTGATATGTAAAATAGAACAAACTAAAGCTGTATTTTGGTTTTGATAAAATTCAAGAGAGGTTTGAGCGGCTTTTTTTTCTTGACGCTGCTTTAGAATTTGAAATTACGAAGTTAATGATGTACATGCTAACTAATTTGCTAGGAATTTTAATTCTTTTATGCAGGTTTCTTCAGAGTAATTATTTAAGCGGATGGATTCCTGATGAGTTGGGAAACCTTCCTGAGCTTGAGAATCTGTAAGACTTCTTTTCTCAGTTTCTGTGCATGCTGGTCTGCAGGTCGCAAGCTCCTGCATGGTCCGTTCACCTTAATCTGCATAAGCAAGCATGATATTCGGATAACATTTTGTTTTTCGTATATGACTGTACCTATGCAACGAAAATATCTATCATTATATAGACACTAGACAGTCCTCGAATAAAAGATACAACCTTTCCTTTTAAAAACTTTTGACAGTTTGCACTTTCTAATACTAATACCTTGGTGAATTTACACACCTACCAGCCCTTCATTAAGTTTTCTTTATCAATTCTTCCTATCCTTCTTCATAATGCCATCATGCTTGTGCCTGTCCATTTCACACAAACTCCAATTCAACTATATGTTTGCTGTATAAGCTTTTGTTCTGTTTTACTTTTTAGGATAGGAAGCTGTGTTTTCTGTATGTTGATTGTTACCACATACTACAGTACACTTTGTTGTCCTAAATGGACCAGCCTCTGCCCTGCTTATCCTGGCATCTTCCTTGCTAATTTGAACATCCTTCTTGTGCATTTTCCCTCCCTCTGAGCATGAAGAGCCTTTGGAATGATAGGCAACTGGCGGTTCATTGTTCTCTTGTCATTGCTCCGCTGTCGGAGTTATTTGCATGTCTCATGGTTTGTCATTTCTCTACTGATAAAATAACTGGTGCTTCACACCCTAGCATCATTGTGGTCTGAGGTAGCTGGAAGATTTCTTGAATTAGCTGGAAGGATTTTACAGTGAAGAGGATGGACCATCATATCAACTGATTTCTTCTGCATGTGTCATATCTTAGGGATCTGGTTATTGGGGTCATGAGTGTTTTTCTTGCTAGACTGTTGGAGTCACGAGTGTTTTTCTTGCTAGACTGGTGTAACCTTTCTTTTCCCATTAAAAGAGCTAAGGAAAGTCGTGCATACTTTACCTCTTTACTGTTCCAGGAAATGGAGAGAAACCTAATTGAGTAATAAAAAGGCTTTACATTGCAGTTTGTTGGAAAAAAAGATAAAGAGGCTTTAACAGAAGAAAAAGTGCCATTTTTTGCTTGTTAGTTTGATTTAGTCTGGGTAAAATTTTCTTATCCTTTTATAAGTATGTAACTACTAATGCAAATCTAATTGACCTGTCTCAATTCTACGCTTGTGATAGATTGTTCAGCTTAGTAATTACTTCTACAGTCAACCAATTGATGTTGGTTTATTACTTTTGCTAGAGATCTTTCAAGCAACTCTCTCAGTGGAAACATTCCACCATCCCTTGGCAAGCTGAACAATCTTGGCATTTTGTGAGTGCCCTAAAAGTTCTTTTGTCGTAACTAATAACTTAAATGTGTAAAATATTACTCAAGAGGTGAGGTTGGTTTGTGCTGCCGAATTAATATTTGTTGTTCAATGTTTACAGCAACGTGTCAACAAATTTCTTGGTTGGGCAGATACCTTCAGATGGACACCTTGCCAAGTTTGGAAATGATTCGTAAGTAACACCAATAAAAAATCCTTCTTGTCAAGTGCATTTGAATTTTCAAAGCATCTATGGAATCTATAATCATTTTTTTACTCAGTTTCTCTGTTTGATTTACATAATGTTGACATAACTAGTGTATGTCCATACGTTTGAAGCATCTTTATCAACTCCACATTATTTCTTTTTCAAATATCAGCATCCTCGCGTGCCTAACTGTTTGTTTTCAGAAATCTACCAAAAAAGATTGTAATAGTTCTGGGATGACACTGAGGGTGTTGGCTGAATTGCCAATTGCATTTGAAATTAGGATTGAGGTCCTTAATTCTTTAAAGTCCTGAATCCCGCACTGTTTAGTAAATTGTGTATCAGTGAAAATGAAGGGTATGCAGTTGTAGCCTTCGATACTAGCATTTGCTTGAATCTTGAGTAGTACCCATCATTGGAAAAGGAGAAAGACTTGTATGGATGTGCACAGAATAGCTGCCTGATCTAATTTGACCTAAAACTTGTAATTTACAACTTGCCCTCTGGTTGGCTTGATTTACATGATTTCTGATTTTAAATTTATGACAGCTTTCTTGGAAATCGTAACTTGTGTGGCAAACAAGTTAGTCAGGACTGTAACAATGGAGGTCCTTCAATATCCCCGTCCCCGGGTTCAGGTAAATGTTTACTCATTATCAACATAAAATAATAGTGAAATATCAAGTCCAATTTCTCTGTAAGGGTCAGTGCATATGACCATATTGACAGAATCATTTCTCATCTGCTCAAGGACCCCTAGTGACAGAATCATTTCTCATATGTTCAAGGGCCCCTAGTGACAGAATCATTTGCCCTCAGTGCTTAGTTCAAGTGGCAAAAGTTGAGGGACTTGTGACTTGGGTCACAGGTTCGATCCATGCGACATGTGAAGTAAGCCTGGTATTTAAGTGGAATAGGGGTATAGGAGTGGATCCCTTATCCTGTAGTTTTGAGGTTGGTCCTAAGGGTTGGCCCGACAAATTTGTCGGTCATGAAAAAAGGATACCTAGTGTTTCGGCTGCTTAAGATGACAACACATTATCTTTTTAGATTGTTGAATACTAGATTTCATTGTTTTTCTAAAAATTGAAGACCTAGTATATGTCTCTCTTTTTTATTTGGGTAAGTATCTTCATATTATTAATTTCTAATATATATTAAGGTAATTAATGGTATTGCAATAGGTTCAACTTCCTTTGGCTTTTTTTTTTGATAAAGTAATTAAATGAAATTAGAAAGCATCAAGAAGATGCGAAGTTACAAAAGCACCTTGTGCAAAGAAGCTGCTCCAAACAGAAAATATGGAGCTAGCTTGGCAAAAATTTGTGAAACAGTCAATAGGGAACCCTGCTACTCTACTGTACTAGAGATAGGGAACTAACAAAATCCGAAAGGTTATCCACACTGTTTACATTGGCATAAAAGTGCCAGCTAAATAAACTAACTAGAAATTGGGCTTTAAAAGTGCATAAAGAGGTTGATATTCCATTAAAGCATCTGTTGTTTCTCTCTTTCCATATGCTCCAAAAAATGGCTGCTGGGATCATTCTCCAGATCTTTCTGATGGATCTGTCAACTTTCCACAATATCCAGCTGGCATAAGCATCCTTCATGTTGTAGGGCATTACCCATTGTAGACCAAACATAGAGTAGAAATAATACCATAAGCTAATAGTTGCAGGGCAGTGCAAAAAAAGGTGATTAACACTCTCATTGGTTTGCTTGCACATGACACATCTGTTGATGAGGATTACACCTTTTTTCCTGAGGTTGTCTTGTGTTAGACATGCTTCCTTCAATGCTGTCCAGGTGAAACAAGAAACTCTGAGGGATTGCCTAGTTTTCCAGACATGTTTCCAAGGCCAAATTAGTAGAATGCCATTCTGGGAGCTCGAATTTTTGTAACATTCTTTCACCGCGTAGGTCTTCTCCTTAGAATTACCCCAAAGAATCTTGTCTTGATCTTCGACCACCGATGTAGTGTTTTGCAGAGTTTCTAAGAGGGAAAGGAGGTCATTAATCTCCCAATGAAGTAGCGGCATGTACTGATAACATGACCTGATGGAGTAGTTACTTGTCTCTGGATACGTAGCCTTTTCTGCTGCTTCTTTGTTTCTCTGTTTTTCTTTTCTTTCAAGTATTTCACTTATTTCCTTTCATGTTTCATGGTAATATCTCATATTTTCCATGTTTCTCAGCCCAAAGCCAAAATAAGAATGGTCGACTACTTATAAGTGCATCTGCCACTGTGGGTGCACTGCTTTTGGTGGCACTGATGTGTTTCTGGGGCTGTTTCCTCTACAAGAGACTGGGTAAAAATGATGGCAAAAGTCTTGCGATGGATATTTGTGCAGGTCGTTATCTAGAACCTATGTAGAAATTACCATTATAATGTTTTAATCTTTATTTGCTTTATGCTCTTAATTCCTTGTATAAAAGGTTTAACTATCCAATTGTTTAATTATCAGGTGCATCGATTGTGATGTTCCATGGAGATTTACCCTACTCTTCCAAGGACATCATCAAAAAACTGGAGATTCTGAATGAAGAGCACATTATTGGTTCTGGGGGCTTTGGAACTGTATACAAACTTGCAATGGATGATGGCAATGTATTTGCCGTGAAGAGAATTATCAAGATGAATGAAGGCTTCGATAGATTCTTCGAAAGGGAGCTTGAAATTCTTGGAAGTATTAAGCACCGGTATCTGGTAAATCTGCGAGGATATTGCAATTCTCCGACATCAAAGTTGTTGATATATGACTTTTTATCAGGAGGTAGCCTAGATGAAGTTCTGCACGGTGAGACATACTTTTCTCAGTAAAATATCTTGTGCTCTACAATTGGTGAAAATGTTTGTTAATTTGTGGATTTAGCACATAAGCTGTGTTTGGTGAGAATTTCTGGGTTCTCTCTTTAAATTGGCAAATTATTTGAGATTTTAGCAGTCTTGATATTCATAGCAAAATAGGGTTGTTTATCTTCCCTGTATAACACCTGATTGAAATTTGGGTTGTGTGGCTCAGTTGGGAGATAAAACGCGCAAGTTAATAATAGTAACAGTTAACAGAAACATAAGTTATATTGGATATATATGCTTTTATGGAAGCATGAAAGACCTGCTGTCTTTTAAATGCAAAATTCATATGCTGATAAGAGCAAACATACTAGACAGGGGTCTAGTAAGGAGGATAAATTATGAACAGGGATCACTTTCTACTGCTATTATTATTGATTCAACCAGTGAAATATAGTCCCAAAAAGTCTGCCAGATTGTCACTGGGACAGAAGGGAATGCTGTAAAACCATTGTTCAATATGCAATTGATTGGAAAAATATTGTAGCCTTTGGAGAAAGTTTCTGAATGGATTGACTAAACTAGGTGACAATGTCCTAATGCAACTCTAAACTTACTTGGGTTGTACCCATTGGCTTGATTGTATAAATTTCTTACCTTTTAATACAAATAAAAGTGGATAATGATTACATCTTTGGCTGGTGCAGATGGCACTCCGGAAATGCTTTCACGTCTAGACAGTTACGAAATAGTGTAGAGTAACTAGCTAACTAACAAAGACACTCTGATGGCACCAAAGAATATCGTGGTGTTTCATCAATGTTTCATGTGTGTGCTATATTTTGTGTAAATATTGCTATAGATTTTTATTATGATGATGACATGACTAGAGCTTAAATAGAAACATGGTCTGAGGACTCATATAGCTGATATCCCACCTTGGTCGGGATTGAGGCTTAGTTGTATTGCTGTAGAACTTAAAATATGGACTTCGTTTTTATAAGTAACTTTGATTTACACATTTTAATTCCTTTGCTTTAGTTTACCAGATGGCTAGCTTGCAGCCCTTTTAGGCAGCTATATTGCATGAGAACCACTTACAGACTTGGGGTAAATGACAGTACAATAGTAATGTGTAGCTAATTTTTATCCATAGATAGTACAATCAGTAGGAAAAAATGATGTTTGTCAAAATGGTCGAATATCTCGATGAGTCAGTGTTCTTCTATTCAATAGAGTAACAAAATGAGTTTCGTGTTTGGGAAGTGAACAGTGACATGATGTTTGCTTTCAGCATTTAGGGTGGAAAACAATGCATGTTAAATTGCTGTTGCTTTTTAGACATTATCAGATCTTCAGGGTTGAGTTTTAGATTGTCTTTTGGATCCATTTTAACATCATATTTGAAATATTTTATACAGAGAGATCTGAGCAGTTAGACTGGGGTGCACGGCTGACTGTAATCATGGGAGCTGCAAAAGGGCTGGCATATTTACATCACGATTGTTCACCTCGAGTAATACACCGTGACATAAAGTCTAGCAACATTTTGCTTGATGGAAACTTTGAGGCTCGAGTATCTGATTTTGGACTGGCCAAATTACTCGGGGATGAGGAGTCTCACATCACAACAATTGTAGCTGGCACATTTGGGTATTTAGCTCCAGGTACTCCCAATGATTAGACATTTGTCATCACATTTTACTTAGGAAGTTGCAAATATTAAACTATGCATGAAATGAATTTCTGCTGCTACTATAGATGAAACTGGGGAGAGAGTGATCTGGTTATCTCTTTCTGTAATCAGGTTTCACTACTTTTCAAGTACAAACTGGTTACTGCTTGTCTGTAGAAGTTGCACCTGTGATGTCTTTCTTTCTCATGCTTTTTTTTTGATATTGACAAAAGATAATATGAGACCTAGTTCAATGACAAAAGGTGGGAGGGAGAGGAATTAGTTCCACATCGAAGGTTTCTCTTGAGGCATCGAACATAATGTTTTCTAGCATATTCATCTCTGCTGCATCAAGTTGTAACATGTGATGAGAGGTTATCTATGTACTTGCTGTGCCATGTGGAAATCTGATTTTGTATGCTTTCACTTGGGGCAGTTGATTACTGCTTCACTTGATATGTCGCCTTTTGTTTTACGGCTTATGTGTTCCTCTTCTCTATCTTTTTTTCAAGAATACATGCAGAGTGGTAGGGCTACAGAAAAGACAGATGTTTATAGTTTTGGAGTTCTGGTTCTTGAAGTCATAAGTGGGAAGCGGCCGACTGATGCATCATATATTGAGAAGGGCTTCAATATTGTAGGCTGGGTATGTTGTGTGATTAATCGCATCTTACTTCTAATCATATAAATGTATTCTCTCTTGGTTGAAATTTCTTACACTCCTTGTGCGAGGTAGCTAACATTATTTTTTAGAACCTACAGATGTCATCATGGCTACTTGTTGGCATGATTAACCATTTTGCCCATTATCTCTAGTTATGTATATAATTTATCGTGGTCTCATTCTTTTTGGCTACCAGAGCCCAAACTGCAGAGATGCATGTGAGCTTCACTTGAGGTCTCTATTGGAGCAAGGTTAAAATTATCTAAAGAAAAACTAAGTGGCTAATTCATCATACCATCATAAATAGTTGCACTGTAGTTTTATGTTTCCATATTTGCATCTCGTGAGATCCTAAACGGGTAAGGCTGGAAAGTTTATTTGCCACTTCTAGCTTTTGCCCCAACCCCAACTCCCTTCCAGTTCCTCTTACCCCTGATTTTGCAACTACTGCCATGCTCCTATCCTTGTTTGGGGAGGGGGTGAGAATGATATTACTAAGGGATAGAGGTAGAGGGAGGCATGCTGGTGGGCAAGTTATTCCAACTTTTAAGATTTGAAGTTGCAAGTTTTTTAAGCCAAAAGAGGTTAGTTTTTAACAAAAAAGAAGCAGGAAAAAGAGGTGGTTAGTTGAATATGCATAAGCGCTGGACTGAGTGTGGTACGAGCACAAAATTATTAAGGTAAAACTTGTACTGTAGACAATCAGTATGATGGTTTTGTAACGATATAAAACAGTGTTAAGTCTTTGTGGCCATTAATTCATGAAGAATTATTTAGATAATAAGGAGAAATTTGAAGCAAAATGAGCCAAAGAGTGCAATAGGAGAATGAAAATAATGATGAGCCTTTTCCCTCAAGATAGGTAGGAATGGGTAAGAGCCTGAGGGAGAAGACTGTTTATGCACCAAAACAATGTTAAAATCTGCAAAAAATGATAAAAGAGTTTATAATCATTTTAAAAAGAAATGCATATTATTGATATATGCACCTGACTAAACCGAATATCGTCACTGATCAAATGAATTTTAAGAACAATCCAAAATAAGTCTAGTTTTATGGTTGTTTGATCAAACTATATGAAAACCCAAAACAAATTGGACCATTTGGTAGAAAATCATTCCATTTACCGTATTAATTTTTTGCAGAAGAATTTTTCCACTTGTTGTAGTGAAGTATCCTGCCCGAGTAGGATGAACAGATCATATGACTTGCATTGTACATTGTAGGTATTTTATTTATATCACTGATCTTCTAAACCCTTGCCATACTCATCATGCAGCTGAATTATTTAGCATCCGAGAATAGACGGACAGAGATAGTTGATCCGCTTTGTGAACGAGTGCAGACTGAAAGCCTTGATTCCCTGCTTTCAGTTGCCACTCAGTGTGTTTCTTCAAGCCCCGACGACAGGCCCACAATGCACAGGGTTGTTCAGATTCTCGAATCTGAAGTCATGACTCCATGTCCCAGTGACTTCTACGATTCAAGCTCGGATTGAAGGCTCTAGCTAGATGTGAAGAAAATTAATGATTTGAGTTTGCATCTGCAACTTCATGCAGTAAATTGAGGAGTGATGCAAGTTTATGGGAATTAAAGTCTGCAAAGATTCTTCTATTGTACTATATTTATCGATTCTTTCTGCAGATGAACAACGAAAAAAGATCAGTTCAACTGCCATCATTCCTCAAATTCAGAGTTGCTAGCTAGTTATCACGAGGTTCATTGTGCTTAATCCTGTTTTTGATTTCATCATATTTCTCCAGTGCATTGAGCTTTTCATTTCACCAGGGGAACGGAATGTGTACGAGTGGCATGAGCAATCAAATCTCTTTTGTATCTTTCATTTGCCTTTTGTTTGTAGGTTTTCTTGCTGTAATTGTATATGGAAATGATTGAATTGATATGACACTTGCCTTTTGCTAAGTTGATATCCTTTTTGTATATTATGATGCTTCCCACAATATCACTTGATTGCAAGTATTTTGCCTTGACACTTTATTTCTGTTGATCTCTTTTGTAGTTTCTCTTCCACTTATGATGTCATGAACTGAAATACAGATATTGTGATAATTTAGTTGTTAAATTTAGTTTATATTGACTTATTCTTTAGTAAACAACACAGGCCTAGTAAAGTTGATATTTTGAACTTAAAAATGAGGATAAATTTTTTTTATTTATGTACCTTGTATCTTGAAGATCCGTACATTTCTGGTGGCTCACTGACACTATTATTGTTGGTCTGTGCAGAAGCAATACAATACACATGAGATATAAGTAATATACTACAAACTATATAGACCAAAGATTTAGAGATCATTTTATTCAAATATCTTCAAAGTCTTACTTACGAGGGTGAATGTACAATTCTATTTATTGTTTGATGAATCATTCCAAAGGTCATCATATGACGTGTCATAATAAATAGATATATTTTTATCCAAAAAAGTTCAGATTAAGTTAATGGACAATCCAATCAGTTCAATGGATTCATCAAATGTTTAACTTTTATACACAAACTCTTCAATTCTTCTGATTGTAATTTTTGAGTTTTTAGATTGTTATATTCTATTAATGAAATTAAAGATTCTGTTTCATGGAAGTTAATTGGTCTAGCCAAAAGAAATAGTGAAGTGGTATAACAATATCTTACCAATTGAGTATCAAACGTGACTATCCTCGGGTGGTGGCATATATTTTTGTCTTATAAGATCATTTTTTGTAATTCTTTTAATCGGGACTGTTCCAGATGGACAACCTTTACCATTTTGCCATATCCTTGACGATGACGAAGTAATGGATGAGTACCTGCATTTTGCTTTGTTCTCGCCAAAGTAGGTTTCATCTGTGCATTTAAAATTTAAATTATGAATCACAAATTCACAATATCATATATGAATTTCCAGAAAGCTCAACATGAAATGACATTTAAGAGACATGTCTGGAGATGAAAATTATGATTCTTCTATAATGGATGATCGAATGCAGACTGTTTATATAAACCCACAATCATACGTATCTCCATATATAGTCTGTCAACCAAAACTCATAAATTTATAATTCACATTAGAAAGAAAGTAAGCACACAAATCTATAAAAATATACCTGAATTGTTTTGACGGACGATTTGTTCAAAAGTTTAAGTTGTTTCTCCATCTCTACGTCTTCTAGTTTGAATAACTTTGTTTCTCCTTGAACCCCATTGTAACTCAGAAGAAAAAATAGCGATCCATCTATTTTTTGATGCCTCAACATTCATAAACTTATTTTATAAAGATGATTATGTTGATATATACCAAACTACTAAACAACCAAAATAATTAACACAAAATAGCAGCACCAAACAGAGAACTAACCTGAATTTTTAGATGTAGAAAAGTAGAAGAATGTGAACACATGTATACCACCTTTGTTTAATATGATGCTTTATATAAAGAGTTGACGAATTTATTCTTCATAATTTCCAAAACAAGAATTTATATTTCTATAAAATGTTGATTGATCATTTCCAAAAGACATGATTATGGATCAGGTTTAGGGATATACTAAAAGTAAAATTGATAAATCAAATTAAATTGAAAATATGAGTCAAACTGGAAAAAAATTAATTAATTATTTCGTTTGACTGACTATAAATTGTAGTACCTTATTGAAAATTTGAGTCAAAAAGAAAAAACATTAGTATTAATTAATAGTCTGATTTGACTTGATTAAGTACTGTAAAAATATATTCGGTATAATTTGATTTGATTTGATTTTAACCTAAAAAAGTCAAATCAAACCAAACCAATGAGTATTGTAGCTTATAGGAATTAGTAAGTCAAATAAAGTCAGAAATCAATACTAATACTAACCAAAAAATAATAATTCATAAATAGCTTAGCGTTGAAATATAATTCACATTCTTAGCTATAATTTGTCTAAGGGAAAATAATAAATATATCCCGAACTATTGTGAATGGTATATAAATACTCTCTGTTATACTTTTTGTTCATTACTACTCTTGACGTCCAATAACCAGTGCACATTTGCCCCTCCCACTAACAGAAGACTTACTTGCTACGCGTGACGCAATCCGATGGCTCAACCCGTTTTGACCAATTTCTAAAGCCAAAATTCAAATACATGCCCATTACCGTTTAACCCACCCAATTTTTACCCATAAATAAACTACCTAAAAACCTAAAGAAAAAGCCTCATCCTGACGCTCCAAGGCTGGGGAGGGAGGGGATAGAAGGAAGCCTCGTGGCACGACCCCTCGAGGTGGGAGCGGGCCTCGGGGCCCGACACTTCAAGGGGGAGGAAGTGGAAGGGGGCATCGGGGCACGACGCCTCAAGGTGGGAGGAGGCCTCGAGGCATGATGCCTCGAGGTCGAGAGGTGAAAGAGTGCCTCGGGACACGACACCTCGAGGCCGGGGGTGGGAGGTGCCCTCAGGGCATAACACCTTGAGGACATGGGATGGAAGGGGGCCTCAGGGCAGATGCCTCGAGGGGTGAAAGGGGGCCTCGGGGCGCAGCGCCTGGAGGACGGTGGGTGGGGTGAGCCTCACGACATGGCGCCTCGAGGCTATGGAGGGGGTTAAAGCCTCGGGGCACGACGCCTTAAGGTCGGTGGAGAGAGTGGGGGCCTCGATGCACGACTCATTGAGGCTGGGGATGGGTGGGGGCCTCAGGGAACGACGCCTCAAGGCTGAGGGGTGGGTGGGGGCCTCAGGGCATGAAGTCTTAAGGTCGGGAGAGGGAGGTAGGGCCCTCAGGGCACGACACCTCGAGGCCTAAAGGGTGGGTGGGGGCCTTGGGGCACGACGGCTCAAGGCCTAAAAGGTGGGTGTGGGCCTCGAGGCACGACGCCTCGAGGTTGAGAGGGTAGGAGAGAGTCTCGGGGAACGATGCCTCAAGGTTAAGGGGTGGGAAGGGTCCTCGGAGTGCGACGCCTCGAGGTCGGGGTGGTGGGACTGGGCTTCGGGGCATGGCTCATTAAGACTAATGGGGTAGGAGAGGGCCTCGAGGCCGGGGGTAGGGGTAGGAGAGGGGAGTGCCTCAGGGCACGACTCCTCGAGGCTGGGGGACTCGGGGTACAGTTCCTTGAGGTCGGGGGCAGGGGGTTGGGTTCATTGAGGCACAGTGCCTCGAGGCCCTGGGAGGGGGTTGGAGGCCAAGAGGCAGGACGCCTCAAGGTCGAGGAGTGGGAAGGAGCCTCGAGGCACGACGACTCGAGGAGGGGGGGTGAGTGTGGGCCTCAAGGTGGTAGGGGCCTCGGGACACGAAACCTCGAGGATGGGGTAGGGGTAGGGGCCTAGGGGCACGACACTTTTTTATTTAATACCCATAAACTAACATGTTGAAACTTTTATTTAATACTAAATTTAGTCTGAACATGTGACTCAAAGAATGCACGAGTATCACACAATATGCGTATGATGCACGAATATCACACGAAATTTACATTTGATGCGCAAAATGAACGTGTGATGCACAATTGCTAATGCCTTTGTCAGTATGAAAATACAAACTAGCCTATTTATAGCTAGAGCTGATACATGTAAACATTTTGGAATGATTTTGTTCAAACCTCATGAAAATCATCACAATCACTGCCAATAGGATGATGATCATGACCGGCATGCCTTTGAGTTTATCTTCGGCTTCTCCTTCTGCCGCGACCAGACGTACCAATGGTAATGTCGTAAGCAACTAGAACAAAAGAAGAGGAAGTTAGTAATGCAATTATGAAGATTACATACATTACAAATTCATAAACACTATTTACAAGTATTATTTGCACGCAGTTCGTCATAGGTGGAGCTACAACCAATCAAGTGAAAACATTTCTTAACTTATGTCAACAAAGTTATGCTATTGTTATTTTAGAATGGAACACAAATGTACATTATGCCAACGAAGCTTTTGAAGATCCATGGACATATGACGAACGTGAAAATATTTCATAACAAATAGATGAATCAAAGTAAGTATGTTGTTTTATATTTTAATAGGTTGGTACTAAAAACGTCCTAATTCTTATATATTATCTTACTTTTTGTAGTGATTGTGTCTATTTACTTGTGCATTTTCTGGCTATGTCTGTCGAGGAGTTATGAACATATCAAAGTCAATTTTGATTATGAAAATCTTCGATTAAGATGCAGAGCATTACTTTGGGACTATGGAAAGAGGAAAATTGATACGTATTGTTTGTTAATGAATGTGAAATCAAGTACGAAAGGTTGTCAGTTACGCCGGAAGGGGTGTGATTTAAAAGGAATTTCTACCTTGTAGGTTTAATATTTCTTTTACATTTATTAATTAAATTAGAAGTAGTTGTTAGGGTTTGTTAAGGTAAGAAGATTATTTTTGATATTTTTTTTCTCTGTCTATAAATATTTACCGAAAATAAAAATAAACAAAATGAAAATTTCCTTAATATTCTTGCTTTCGTTTTCCAATACATCCTTTGAAATGAAAGAACACCATGTTCAAAACCTTACTTGTAGGCAACAATAGATACTTATTATACAATACTGAAAGCCACTATAATTCCGACAACTCATTTTTTTACACATCATGTAAATATATATTAGTGGTGATAAATATGGAAACACGGTAAAACTCTAACTTCTTCATTCTCATCAAACTTGGACAAACATATATGACATTCTCTAACGCAACATTATACTGCATGATCGGAAATGACCGAACCACGGTCTAAGCTCTAATAGCGATGAAGCAGCGGTACAAGTATTATATCACATGATGATGAAAATCATCACAATCACTGCCAATAGGATAATGATCACGACCGGGGAAGCCTTTATATTTATCTACATCTTCTCAAGACGTACAGCGGTACAAGTATCTTTTTTTTTGCTAATTATTCTGTGTTGACGAATATTGGTCGGGGGGATTCAGGTTTGGGGTGGGGACCAACAACAAGATGGGGATTAAGATTTAGAATTAGTCATAATATTTATTAATTACAAGTGTAAATAATCCATTTTCCTGTATCAAAATTCCCTCATCAACAAATAATGAACTTGATTATAAGCTTTGATGCATTTACAACAAGGGAAAAAAAAAAAGCAAAATGAGAAACTCTTCAAACACCTGTACAAAGTGGAAATTTACAAAGAAAAAACACAAGTTTTATATGAAGGTAGCATGACTGATTGGTGTTTTATCTTATGGTGTGGTATCCGTTTCCACCATTTTGCTTGCTGCTACTTCGTCTGACATTACTGCATACGCGGAGGGGAACCAACCTGACTTGCCATTGCACTCTCCTTCAGACCATCCATTTGGAGCAACCTATAGTTACCACATTAAACAAGAACGATATGCAGTTCCGTTAGAATGCAACTTATTTTGCTTGCTAAATGATTGTATCGTTCTATCGCCTACATAAACATCTATTGTTAAATAACAATATACCTCCGCAAAAGTTACTGTTAAAAGAAGTGAAGATGAGTTAGTTAGTGGGAGCAACTAACTATTCAAAAGTTAGTTAGAAGTTGAAGTTAGTTGGTAGTTAGTTAGGCCTAATATTGTAATTTCAAGTCAGTAGATTGTTACATTGATTAATGTGTAGAGTTAGTTAGTTAGTTTGTATTTTTTTGTTTGCATTATCTGATTGCTATATAAGCAATGCAGATCACGTGTAGAGGAACAATTTTTTCAATACAACAATTTTACTCTTTCATTCTTCTTCTTCTTCTTTGGTAAAAGCTTCAAGCCTCATCAATGGAGTAAGGCTTGGAAGCTGCTGTTTGTGTTCATGGTATCAGAGCAGTGTAATCTGTATCATTAGAGGAGTTTAAATCTCTGTCAATTTGTGATAATCTGTAGCTTAAGATCTACAGATATGGTAGGAGTGAAGATCGATCAGAATGATCCATTATTCATTGGAAATTCTGATAGTTCTAGTGCTGTGTTAGTTCCAATCAAGTTGGTTGGATCTGAGAACTATGGAATCTGGAGTAGAGCAATGAGAATTGCATTATTGGGGAAGAGGAAGTATGGTTTCGTAACTGGCACCTGCACAAAAGATCTGTACAAAGATGAATTGCATGAGCAATGGGAAACTTGCAATGCTATTGTGCTATCTTGGCTGATGAACACAGTCAGTGAAGAGCTGCTTAGTGGCATTGTGTATGCCACAAATTCTTTCTCAGTATGGAATGATCTAAAGGAAAGATTCGACAAGGTGAACAGAGTAAGGATCTATCAATTACATAGAGATATTACCACTCTCTCACAAGGTACAGATTCTGTATCTCATTACTTCTCAAAGTTGAAAACACTATGGAATGAGTATGATGCTATAGTTCCAAATCCATGTAGTTCATGTTCTCAGTCGAAGGAGTATAATAATCATTTGGAACAGATGAGATTGATTCAATTCTTAAGTAGCCTAAATGAATCATATGATCAGGCTAGGAGACAAATACTACTCAAAGGAACTACACCTTCTATGAATCAAGCTTATGCTATGATTATAGAAGATGAGATTCAGCACTCAAGTTATATGGATAATGTAGTTGAGAAACCAAGTTCTATGGTAATGAGTGTTAACAAGAATCAAGGAACTGGAAAGGAAAATTACAAGGGAAAGAAATGTGATTACTGCCATTTCTCAGGTCACACAAAGGATAATTGTTACAAGTTGATTGGTTATCCAAGTGACTGGAAACAAAGGAAGAAACCAGGTTTTGGAAATGGGAATGGAAACACAAGAAATGGTACAAGCACAAGTCAATTCAATGGATATGGGGGACAAAGTTCAGGAAATAATGGTGGATATGGAAGAGGATTTCAAGCTGCAAACAGCATCTCTAATGATCACTGTGATCATCCTAATGCTATGTCAAATAATCAGGTGGAAAACAATAACATGCAGAAGGTGCCAAAGGGACAAACATTCACTGAGAAGGAGTATAACCAAATAATGGAAATGCTGAACAAAGATGTACAAGAAACAAAGCAAGTTAATATGGCAGGTATTACAACTTGTTTAATAACAAAGGCCTGCTATACAGGATTGGATTGTTGATTCAGGTGCAACTCATCATATCATTGCAAATAAGCAGCTACTAACTAGGAGACATGAATTAACAAAGTCACAAATGAATCAAGTTCATCTTCCAACAGGTGACAAGGTTACAGTCAGTCATATTGGTGAAACACCTATATTTGAAAATGAAGTGGCCAGAAGTGTTTTACATGTGCCAGATTTCAAGTTCAGTCTATTGTCAGTGTCAAAGATTACAAGAGAACTAAATTGTTTTGTATCCTTTTACCCTGATTTTTGTGTGTTTCAGGACCTCTGCAGTGGCAGGGTGAAGGGGATTGGTAGAGAAGAAGGAGGATTATACAGTTTTAAGGCTGTTTTTTCATCTAAACAAAGGGAAGAAATAAAGTGTGCTCAAGAAATAGTAGCTGCAGGAGCTGTAATACAAGACACAAAACTATGGCACAGAAGGTTAGGACATCCATCTCAACAGATATTGAGACTTCTCAAGATAGATACAAGCAGTAAAAGTGATGAAATATCAGCACATTGTCCTGTTTGTCCTTTAGCTAAGCAAACTAGACTTGCTTTCCCTGTTAGTACTACTAGAGCATCCATGATGTTTGATGTTGTTCATATGGATCTATGGGGACCTTATAAGACTCCTACTCTAGATAGAAAGCATTACTTCTTGACTATAGTAGATGACTATAGTAGATTTGTATGGGTTCATTTGTTGCAGTTAAAAACAGAAACCATTGTAGCCATCAAAACTTTTCTTTCAATGATCAAAACTCAGTTCAATTCTCATGTCAAAGTTGTGAGATCAGATAATGGCACAGAGTTCCTTAATTTCACAGTGTGGAGATTTGTTCAATCATTTGGGAATATTACATCAGAGTAGTTGCCCTCACACACCACAACAAAATGGTGTGGTTGAAAGAAAGCACAGACACATCCTTAATATTGCAAGAGCGATCAGATTCCAAGCTCATCTACCTATCAGATTTTGGGGTTATTGCATTAAGGCTGCAGTTTATTTGATGAATAGGTTACCATCATCAGTCAATTCCAACAAGAGTGCCTATGAGTTACTTTATTGTAAACAGCCTAGCTTATCTCATCTAAAGGTTATAGGTTGTCTTTGTTATGCTACAAAAGTGCCTAAAGGAGATAAATTTTCAGCCAGAGCTAGTGCAGCTATTCTCTTGGGGTACTCAGAATTACAGAAAGGATATGTGTTGTTGGATATTTACTCTACTAAAGTGCATGTGAATAGAGATGTGATATTTCATGAAGAAACATTTCCTTTTGCTAAAGTGAGGCCTCAACTTGATCCATTAGTTGATGTACATGGTTCACCCTTAGAGAAAGCAGGAAATCAAACTATTGAAGTTGAGATTGATAATAATGAACCTGCAGACACTGGTATAGTTCATGAAGACAGTCAGAGTAATGAGGCTGAGAATTCTTCAGAAGATCAGATGTTTAGACCAAGTACAACAGAGGAAGTTGCAGAAAATACTCATGTTGTACCATCACATGTTGACTCTTATGTTCGAAGATCTTCAAGAAGCATCAAGGAGCCAATGTGGATGAAAGATTATGCTATTACTAAAGGCCATAGTAGCACTAAACATCCTATGGCTAGCTATTTGAATTATGAGAAGCTAAAACCTGAGTGTAGAAGTTTTCTGAGTAAACTTTCAGAGTATACAGAACCTAAGAATTTCAATCAAGCTTCACAAGATGAAAGGTGGATACATGCTATGAAGCAGGAAATCAAAGCTCTTGAAGATAATAATACATGGCAAGTAGTTGAACTACCAGAAGGTATGCATGCAGTGGGTTCTAAGTGGATATATAAAGTTAAGTATAAGGCAAATGGTGAGATAGAAAGGTTTAAAGCAAGACTTGTAGCAAAGGGATACAGTCAACAAGAAGAGTTGGATTATCATGATACTTTTTCTCCAGTAGCCAAGATGGTAACAGTTAGATGTGTCATTGCATTGGCAGTATCAAAGGGCTGGACATTGTACCAGATGGATGTCTACAATGCTTTCCTACAGGGTGATTTAGATGAAGAAGTCTATATGAAAATGCCTGAAGGTTTTGCAAAGCCAGGTGTAAACAAAGTCTGCAAGTTATTAAAGTCTTTATATGGACTTAAACAAGCCTCGAGACAGTGGAACCTGAAGCTTACAAAGGTGTTACAAGATACAGGTTTTAGCCAGAGTGCTCATGACTACTCACTGTTCACACTAAAGAAGGAGGAAGATATTGTCATTGTCCTAGTCTATGTAGATGATCTATTGATCACAGGAAATAACACACAACTGATTGCTGAGGTTAAGGTGTGTCTACACAAACAGTTCAAGCTGAAGGATCTAGGTGAACTTAAATTTTTTCTAGGCATTGAAGTATTAAGAGCTTCTGGAGGAATTATTTTGAATCAAAGGAAGTATATATTGGAACTTATTGCTGAAGCTGGATTAACAGGTGCTAAACCTGCAGTTACACAAATGGAGTCTAATTTGAGATTAACCTCTGTAGAACATGATCAAGCAAATGGCTATGTTAATGATGATGTGCTGCATGACATTACTTCATATCAAAGGTTGGTTGGTAAATTGTTGTATGCTACTATCACCAGGCCAGACATAAGTTATGCAGTGCAAACCTTAAGCCAGTTCATGCAATCTCCCAAGAAATCACATATGGAAGCAGCTACTAGAGTGATTAGATACTTGAAAGGTTCAGTTGGTCAAGGTATATGGTTGCACTCTGATCCTACCAACATAATTACTTGCTGGTGTGATTCTGATTGGGCAGCCTGTCCTAACACAAGAAGGTCCATCACAGGATATGTGATTAAGTTTGGAGAATCCTTAGTTTCTTGGAAATCAAAGAAACAACAAACTGTTTCAAGAAGCTCAGCTGAAGCTGAGTACAGAAGTATGGCATCAGCAGTCTCAGAAATTACTTGGCTTCTAGGATTGTTCAAGGAATTGGGAGTGAATGTTCAATTACCTATTACAATCTTTAGTGACAGCAAATCAGCTATACAACTAGCAG